AATGGAACTGGGGATAAAACCATTGACTTGCTTATAGATATTCTTTTATGTTAAGTAAGGAAACCGAACAGTTTTTGAGGATGTTGGAACAGAAACCCATTGTCGAGCGGAAGCAGAAACTCGGTGATAAACTATTTCCAAAAGTTAAGGTGAGAAATTTCAAACACGCTAGCAGTTGGTAGACACGTATTCTGTTTTAAAACATAGTTCTTACTCGAAACCGGATTTTCATCATATAGAGCCTTGGTTTGCGAAGCGCACAAGCCAGCAAAGTCACAATCAATCTCTTAGATACTGATGATCTTCGTGAGCTTGCGCACTCAATGAACGACGCCGCTAAATTCAAGGCAAAGGTCGACGCTGCCATCGTTAAAGTTGGCGCACTCGCTATCAAATAAGTTTTGGGAGTGTGATCGGAGGTCCTATTGTCGGTCGTAAGTGTAAGCAACTCTTTGAGTTATATGATGTGTTACAAGAGAATGTTTCTGATTTGAAAATTTTTTATCCTCAGATACTGTAGGTTTCCCTACTTAACATAAAAGAATATCTATAAGCAAGTCAATGGTTTTATCCCCAGTTCCATTTCATGATCATGGTTTTTATTTTTATAAGACAGGAAAAGGCAATAGACAAAGACCTTTTCCGTATTCTATATTACTTTCATTATATTATTATCACATTATTATTATTCTCTACGACCATCTTAGTTTAACATATTTACGTTATTTCCGTACAGTATTGCAGGTCTTTCATGGTTTATTTCCTCTGGTTTTATATTTTATAACTATTTTCATATATTATCATCTTCCATACATTTTAGAGTCGTCGTTAGTAGGTCATATGATATAAAGATTATTTCAATGGTTAAGCAGAAATGTCTCGAGAAAAGAGGCGTTGGTTATGAAGAGTGTTTATCAGCATGTTGAATGCTCTTCCTTTTATTTTTCTTTTTCTTTTTGAGTGAAATTTTTTATGCTGAACTGGGGAAAAGTCAAATATTCCTTTGAGGATTGTTTAGTTTCCTGTAAAGGATATTTTAAATCTTTCTATATTGAAGAAATAAAGCATATTTAAAATGCAAATTGATACGGCAAAATGTGTTGGATTTGAATACAAAGTAATTATTTGCTTCTCTCGCGTAAACCGGGATATTTTCAACAAGAAATGTGTGTACTTTAGCAGTTTGCGCTAAGCAAATTTGGATGTCAAGAATCAGAACTAATCCAAATTATGCATATGTAACTTAACAAAGTCATATATACACAACATACCATCTTTTGGTATGAAAGAAGGAAATAAAATGACTTACAATGCATGGATTTAGGAAACGCAAAAATGACGATAAATGTAACAAACGCGTCAGTTGCTCATGTCATGTAACCTTTAACTTGTAATATTGAAAAATATGTAAATATAATGTTAGCCTTTTAACTTCCAGTTTTCCTTGTCTAAAAATAATCAAACGCGAAGGCGAAATCGTATATTAAATTGACAATATAGTCATTCGTCATTTAACTTATGCACAGTTTGGCCAAGAACGCGAAATGATTGAGAGCAATCCGACAGGCTTGAATTATGTAATGATATTAATTTGCCGGCTGTTGTGTTATATTTTTTATCGCTATAGAGTTGTAGCTCGATGAAGTGATTGAAGTGATTATATACTGTATGTGTTACATGTGGGGCAGACTGCAACAAAATGAACATTTACTGTGTGGGCTAAAAATGGTAGATGTGGCAACTAAGTGACATACGTGTTGTACAATTTTAAAATCTATATTCTTGACCTTTATAATTACAGTGACACCTCCCTAAATGCAACACCTCGGGACCGAATGCTGCGTTGCATTTATGGAGGGTTTCCTTATTAGGAAACCGTTCTAATAATGTACAGATTTTCCTTTATTATACTTTCCTGCCAACTCTACGGAAAGGTTTGACATAAAATATTCCTAATTGTTAACTAAGAATTGTGTTAATACTACTTTGTTTCATCGAATTTATCCTTTTTTCGAGAATGTAGTTTTATTAGATTGATTGCGTGACATTTTTGGTTTAGATTCTCCCTCTTCGAATTT